ATGCCCTACTTTTTATTTGAAGAAATCACAGTGGAAAGATTAAGATTTAACATCATCCATAGTTCCCAGGGATTACTACATTTCACAAAGAAATCTGTATCCTTTAATATGATGGTTGTATAGCACTACCAAAACCATTAAAGCCCAAATATTACTAATTTGCATAGATTTAATTGGCTAGTGTATCTTAATGTGTCAACAAGGCAAATAAATTTTGTTTCCCTTTGTTAGAAGAAAGTCTAAAGTCTAAAAAAAACAAAGGGACAATTTAAGCCTGACATTTACAGAGCTCTAATGCTGCCAATGCTCAAGGCACATACATCATATGAAGTTACTACCAAACACTAAAAGCGCAATGAGCAGCAGGAGACTTATGAATTCAGAGCCCATCTGACAGAAGGCAGCAGAGTGCTTTGTAAGAGAAAACAGAAAGCAGGCTTCAAGAGCTGAGCCCTGAAGTTGGCTACATCCTCCGTTCCCCGTGATCCCTGCAATGGCCTCTTTAAAGAACTCAAGTGTTAACTCAGATCACAAAGAGGGTTTTGGTTTTGCTTTTCAACTCAGCAAGCAGTTTAGCAACCAGAACACCCAGCTGCCCATTTCAATATGCTCTATTGAATCCAGAAACCTACTGGGGTTTGTTTTACTCTGAGTGAATACTACAGGGGTTATAGATTTGATTTCAATTGCTATTAACTGGATGTAAAACAGCACATTAACCTTTTACTGCAAAACTTACAGCTCTCTGTGCTTAATATTAGGAAGCCTCACATTTGATTCATAGGATCATTTTGCATTTTCAAACACTTAGCCAGGAAAAAGCTGGGCTGGTGAAGTCTGCTTACTGAAAATTCAGGCAAACAGTAGGCTATGTTCTTCATGCTTGTTCAATTATTCCCATAGAGTTACAGTTAAAATTTTACCCATCATTTCAGCACAGCACTTAAACTCTGGGACCTTTTCAAAATCTCCCTGCTTGGGAGGTTCACAAAACTGCTGATCTCAATTTCAAGGTAGAAAGTTAAGAAAAGGATAAGTTTTCCAGTCATCTCTGTAAAAAAGAGAATATTATCCCTCCAGATCCTTAAGTACATAAAACAGGTGGGGAAAAAAAGGTATTTGGAAACACTGAGAAAGACAACTTGTGTATTTTTAAGTGAACTAATTATGAGTAGTGCTGAAAACACTCAATTCCATAGAAACCAGTTACAGGTAATGATGGTGTACAGCACCCAAGTTTGTGTGGAAACATTGAAACTCCTCTTAGCTTGAGGACCTTTACTTTTTGAGCTGAAAGAACTAAAATCAAAAGACCCAATTGGACCTCAAAGACAGACATTGCATTCTCAAATTGCAATTTCAGTTCACCTGTTTAGTCCCCAGAGATATTATAGATGTGCAGCTGGACATAAGAGCAGTTATGGGATTTGCAGGGTAACAATGCCAAAGCCATCATCTTCCCTTACTCAGAGTAAAATTGATCTACTGAGGTCTATTAAATCATTGTCTCCCCACAAGATTGTTTGGACAGTTTAATTTCATACAGTAGGTTTCACTCTTCAGTTTCATCACGTTCATAACTCTTGCTGACATTTAACACACTTGAATCAAGGAGAATACTCCCATCATCGTTCAATTTTCTTTGCAAATTCACATCCCACATAAAAAATATTCCATTTTAGAGCTCCTCCTGTGCAGTTAACCGATCTTATAGCATTGTAAGATGACTATTTTTATTCTTGGATGAGTATCACGATGATT